ACTCCTTTAATTTGATCCCCTGGTGTGACTTACCCACCCTCCTGTATTTAATATTGTGCACACAGTGGGTTTGATTTGCCACTACATTATTTCAGCTGTAAATGAATGTAATATGGCCTGGATCTTAAGTGGTCCAAGTCTCTTCACAGTGGTGAATGTCACCCACAGTAATTCACTTTTCTGGATGAACTTGAGATTGCAGTGTGCCCCGGTAATCCATATGCTTGTGGAAAGTGCCATGGGATTTTTAATGCTCACAAATAATCAGAGAGGAAAGATTATCTGGGGGTTATAGCACTGGACTTAGGAGGCCTAGGTTGACGTCTAGGCTCTGCCACACACTTACTGTGTGACGTGAGGCAAACGACTTAATCTTTTTGTGTCTCATTCTTCCATGTGTAAAGTGGGAGTAATATTTCCCTATCTCACAAGGGCGTCAAGCAGAGAATTTCAGGTGAGATACTGTGGTAATGGGGGGTGCCAGATGAGAACCTAGGTAGCTATTGATTTTCTCTCTGGTCTGTGAGATTATTCCATGAAGTACATTGCTCTCTAATTTTAGGGCATTGGTTCAGATTTAGGGATTCCATAGGATATTAATCAGCCTCACCACTTCCTGTAGCACTCTGGGTTTCCGTCGGCAGTCTCCCTTACAAACACTAATCCGGTTTAGTTGATGAAATATGACGAGATCACAGCCTAAGATAATTTGATTTAGACCGACCAGTCTTGATTTGCATTGTGAGTGCCTCCATGCACCTCACCCTGTTGCTCACAAAACTCTATGACCCATTGTTATGGACACCTATTTTACTAAAATGTTTAAAAATCCTGCACACAAGATTAAGAAACCCAACGAGCTGGGTTTACTGTAGGGTTAACAAGGGGAATAGTCTGAATGTTGGTTGTGATTCAGTTGTTTTCTTGGGGCCTTTATACATTATCCTGGATTAGGAAAGCTTACAGATAAGGAAAAGTATGTTTTACTTTTAAAGGTAGTCCACTTTGTGAACCTGTAAGAAATTAAAGCAAACCCAACAAATAATAGTGCAGTTTTGGACTATTCATTGCTCTGCATACAGGGGGAGTTCTGACATAGAAAGGTACACTTATAATTTTGCCTGCTTTACAGTATCCCAAGTAAGCATGGAAGGCTGAGAAAATATTGCATCATAGATCTGATGTATTGAATGACGTAAAATTAGCATTTCCATTAGTCAAGACAAAAGAGCTGACCTCAGACACGTTGGCCCTGACCACGCTATGGTACACCCCCAGAATAGCAATCACCTTTTCTTGAGTTGCATGAGGACTTGTTTTGTTTTGTTTTGAGAGCCATACTATAGTTGAGCCCCTTCTTAGTCTCTTGGATCTTTTTATAATGTGGTTCTCTGGAGAGAGAAAAAAAAAGCTTTTCCATATTGTTCAGGGAAACAGTGAACTCTGACTGCAACAACTGTGTTTCGCCGGCACAGTTTAACCCACAAAGCAGTCTAGATAGATATTCTATATGGGATATGTTAAATTGGTTGGGTTATTGGAATTACTTTATACGCAACTCATGTTTTCATAAAGAATAATTTGTATTTTCAGTGGAGTTGCAATAATTTAAACACTTGTCAATAGTTCAGAGTAAAATTTGTATCACATTGTTTTGAAAGGAAGGAGAGATGTTTGCAGGGTTTGTTTCCTACCCCGCAATATATACCATGACTGACAGAGCTATTTTACCTAGCTTTTTAGTCATTTTATTGCCTTGCTATTTGTGCTGAGTATAAATGATGGGAACAGGATACCCATGAAATGCAAGAGGAATGATCTAGTGCAGACTGGAGCACAACAAATTTCAAGCATTCATGTTTATCTTAGAGAAATGAGTAATTTAGGCCGTGATCCTGCAAATACTTACGCGCATAACTGTACTTGTGACTAACCCCAATGAGTGTATGTAATAAGGTGCATCAGTGTTTGTAGGATAAGGGCCTCCGTTTGCCCATTGCTTTTCTTTTAGACGAAGCTATGTAAGTTATCTCTTAGCTGTGTTTTAAGTAACTTTCACCAAATCAGTTTTCTCCTTGATGAGGCTTTATATCAAACCTTAGCTTTTGAAATTCTCAGAAGGTGGAATTTTTTAGTTATAATCTAGCAGTGAGTTGGGATAGCATGAAATTTATTTGAAAACTAAAGAACCCTGTCCCATATGTCATTAATGCTGGCTGAATGAATGTATGAAACTCTAGCAACAATTTAAAATCATGGTTCAGTTAATGAAAGCTGAAGTGTTGTGAACAATCCAATAGAAAACTTGATATTAATTTGGGTGCTCTAAGTGACTACATCATGATTGATATTAAAGTAAATAATAAAGAAATTAATATTAATTTGGCCATTAGTTTAAGATAGTAATGAAAATACACAACCCAAATGAATACAGATTGAGAATACTGTAATTAAATAAGGGGCATATTCTGCCACCTGTACTTGTGAGGACATAGGCACATGGCTACCCACAGAGTAAGTTATGATTTCATTTTAAATGAGGCAGAATCTGGTCCTATAAAAATAAATCAACAAAACAAAATAGGCCATATACCAAAAAAGTTTCTAGACCATGTAGGCTGAGATTGAGTTAGGTCAGACATTGAGTGCTTCTGAATGTATCTGAGAATTTGGGGAGAATGCAGTTTAGGTCTAAACTTGACTCAGTGCCCCTGTCAATCTCACACTAATTTCCATGGAAATTCGACAGGCGATATGATGAGAGGCACAGCTCTAGTACTTACAGTTCTTGCTTTAAAGGATGTTTGCTATTTTTTTCTTCCGGTACATCTTACATATTCAAATACGAAACCAGAGGTGAGACTCATTCCTGCTCCAGCCCTTTACACCAGGTAAAGGGGCTAAAGTAGTTCTACAAAGTTCTGGATCCAGCCAGGAGAGAATTTCCTCAGTGAAGGAACTGAGGAAGACAGTCACAGGCTGCTTTTTGAAGATCTCCACGAAAGCCCTGGCATAGCAGGTATAGCGGATAAGGGGTGTGCTGAGGGCAGGGCCTCAGAATGTACCGGTAGTTCTGTAAAGATTTTGGGCAGCTCTGCTGCCATAAGTTAGAGAGACCCCCCAGGGCTGTCCGAACTACACCAGGGACTGCTTAAAGCCATCCTAGTCCTCCCTCCCAGTGCGCTAAGGCACAGTATAGAATGTCACCTGTAAGTTTGTATAGCACCCAGGCCAATGGGACCTCCACCTTCTTGGCCTCTATGGGTTACCACAATATAAATGTTAAATAATGCACACCTTAAATTGAAGAATGCAGACGCAGTTTGACATTTCCATGTTATTTAGGACAAACAGGAGGAAAAGCAAGTTTAGAAAACAATTTTATTAGACAAATTATTTAGACAAATTATACACAGAAAGCTCTGCCACTTGTAACTGAGGCCTCCAAAAAGTGTTGTGTATTTGTTTTATAGGCAACACATCAAAATAGGCCTATTTTAAATAGTGTACATGATTAACAGTTTGTTTATAGCTAAAATCACTGCAACATCTGGTATGTCCCTACATAGCTTGTTGTAAAGAAATTTCTTTTTTTTTTTTTTTTTTTTTTTAAATCAGAGTTGTGTACGAGTTCATGAATGTTACAAGGGGAAACAAGTTGTGCATGCTTTTAGACACTTGCTACCCTGGAAACAAAATGGCCGTTTGCATGATAAGAAATTGTTCTGCCTTACACAGTAGACAATATCTGAAGATTTAGTACAAAAACATTGATGGTACAAGATGCTCCCCCAGAACAGAATTAGCATCAAAACAGAATAGAGCTGAAGAATATACCTTTTAATTTCCCCTAAAGCAAATCACATAGGCTGATTCCTATATCAGTTCTAGCCATAGAATGAGTTAGGTTAACATAAGTGTATGGTTGTGTAAAAAACAAAAAAAAACAAACAAACAAAAGGAAGGAACTCAGCACGGGAGAAGTTGCTTGTTCTCTGCTTAACGGATTGCAGACTGAAAGCTCATTCTACATTTCTAACAGATAGGAGTGTTACTTTAAGAAGCTTGTGCCAAAGCAGACACGTTTTTTGCTCTCATTGCTGTTCTTTCATCGTTCTACACAGTTGACACTGATATAAAAATTACACAGCTCCTCTAAATACAAATCAATATAGGAAGGGTTAAAATGATAGCTCGATCCATTTTTTTCTTAGCATAATATATGACTGTAATTTAAGGCCACATCAATATTTCTCAAGGGTTTTTTGTCCCAGTAACACCATTATTGTAGTGATTGATGGTACTGATTTGGAAAAGAACTTCTTAACCTTCTATGATCTACATTTAAACTTCTCTAGAGCTGTATTAGTTATCCATGGATGTGGTTTAACTAAGAGAGTTTTCCATTGGTTAAATTAATTAAATGTAAAATTACCAGGTTTAGCCTTCTACACTGCTGAATAGCCAATGCAAAACCTAATCAAATGAGTTACATCTGGGTACAAACATTAAATTAACCCGGATGTTCTAATAAAAAAAAGTATAAAATAAGCTCTGTTGGCAAACAATGCAAGTCAGAATAATATTAAAGCCAATCTCTTTTCTAAACAAAAAGACCCCCTGCACTGTATATCTTTTCTGTATACAACACATTTTTACTAAAGCTTTATTAAATGAATTGCAATAGCAACGGCTGCCATTTTATAGATATATATACACATACGTATGTATATATATTTATGTGATACTAATTTATTTAACACAACAGAGGCTTCTGTCATATGATACAGTTTACTGTACATAAGAAAAACTTTTAACACTGTACAATCACATAAAGGTCATATGCACTGTTGCAGTGCAAAAGTAGATTTAACTGTAGTCTTTACTGGCATAGTAATGGCTTTTTGTAATCCTACAAAACTGCATTCTCATATTGTGTGGCCTGAATAGTTTTTTTTTTCTTTTTTCCTTTTTTTAAATTTATTTTTCTTTTACTGCAGGGTTTGCCTTTGGTCCACAGTTAAAAGGACACACAACAGCAGTGGAGCACTGAATGGATGCAGCAGAACAAATGTAAAGGACGGAAGTTATTGCAATTATATAAAAAATGGAGAAAGAGGGGAGATGCAAACGCCCTTCTGCGAAATAACCCTCTAACTTTTATGCATACTCAGTGCACATTTCCTATACTTAAAGTATATGAAAAGTGTATGAATATAAAACTAGTGTGGTTTCTTTTTTTTTTTTTTTTTTTAAAGAAACAGGTGACAAGAGAAGAGCGAGGAGGAGACAGAGAAAGCAGGGGACAGAAGGAGAAATAGTGAGTTGTTACTAAGAATCCTGATTTTTTTTTTAAAAGTTACATCCATGTTAGTCCCACAATATTACAGCTGCTCCTTGCAAAGGGAGTCCTAAAAAGAAACAATGAAGAAACTTGGTCTGAAGCTCATATGGAGGTGCCTCGGTCTGGGTCATTACCGATATTGAGCCCCAGAGTAGGAGTTGGTTGGTATGGGATAGACGACATTGTTTTGATAGGACTTCTGAAAAAGCCCCCGTTAGGTGCCCTGTGCCTAAAAGGGCCAGTTCGGTGCTCAGGCATGTTGCCAAAGGAGAAACCAGAAGCGGCTTTAGCTGACAGCGTACGGCTAAGAGTCTGGATCTGTTCTGGTATGAAGGTTGTTGTGGTGATATGAGTGTTCCTGAAGTCACTGATTTGCTCCAGTGCTTGGCGTGTGGGCAAAGTGTCAATGTCCAGCGGGGTCAAATCAATTGACGAGGTGGAAAACTGTTTATGGGGGCTGTCGTCATCTGTGCACAGGCTGTTAACACGTCTGTGAAGATGTTCCAGGTCAATTTCCTTGTCATCCTGGAAAAGAAAAAGAAGACAGGCCATTTATTGTTGCCACTTTTTGCTGGACTGAATCTTTACAGTGGAACCAGAACTGTGCAGGAAATGTGACTAAAACTTCGTCTAACTTAAACTAAAACTTTGTGCCATGGGCGGCCAGTGACCCAGCCGTTGGGGGAGGCTAGTCCCTGGCCTTTCCCCTTGTGCCTGACAGGCCCTGCCCCATCTCCTCTCCTTTTGCCTTCTTCCCCGCAGGAGCCCAGAGCACCCCCACCACAGCCCCCGCCTCAGTGCCAGCTGCTCCAAGTCCCTGTGGGAGGCAGGCTGGCCAGCCTGGGCCAGTGCAGTGCAGGAGGGAACCTGGGGGCGGGGCCATGCTAGGCTGTTTGGGGAGACACAGTCTCCTCCAGCCTAGGATGCCTGCCACCCATGCTTTGTGCTAATTTACAACAGCTGAGGTCAGGTATAAACATCTGTGGTGTAAATCTTTCCAACTGACTGGATTAGAAAGAACACAGGTGCTGTCTAACCTTATAATTCACCTATTTTCAAACCCAGCATCTTAAGTACTAAGCTGTAGGTGCTACAAATAGATGCCTATCATGAAAGTACATGTTTAGAGCCAGGGTATGTGTGATTTAGATTAACGACAGCTTGGTAATAATCAGCTTCCTATAATGAAGATGAAGTGTAAACTCAGATGGCTGGGGTGATACCAGCTTTTCTTGAACTCCATACTGATAACTAAATGTGAGCTTCAGATGGGAGCTTTTGAAGAATAGTAATAGCCTCTTCATCAGTCTTAATTCTGGCTGGGCTCAAATTGATTTTTTTATTTATTAGCTGAAATACAATAAAGCTGAACTTCCAAACCGTTTGGGGAGCGCTGGTGGCGCATTTGCAATGTACCAGAAGAGGATACACAAGATAATTTTTAATTGTAATGCCAACAGTGGGTTTGATTCTCCTCCTAGTTACAGGGGAGCAACTCCGCTGACTCCAGTGGAATCACACTGGTGCAGGTAATAGGAGAATCAGGTCCATTGTACGTACTTGGATGTGGGATCACACCCTCCTATCCTTGCTCTTTTTCTTCCATAAACTACCCCAAAGGAATTCAATTTAAAAAAATGATGTTATGCTCGTGTTACAGCAGAGACTTTAAATGCACAAAAGTAAAAAGATACAAAGCCATGGGCCCCAAAGTAACTGTACATCACCTGTAGGCCACATATATATTAATACTGAACTGCAAAGCGTAACTCAGAACTGAGTTAAGCATAGAAATATGCAAGGGATGTCCCCACTAATCAGACTGTGGGGCTTATTCATCACAGAATGAAGTTTTAACTAACCTTCTCAAAATTCACTTTCGTTTCCATGAAATCTACTGACTCTTCCAGACCAAACAGAGAAGTGTCACAATGCATCATTCTAGGATGTCAGAGATACCAGAAATTATAACAGCACAGGCCATAGTGGTGCGTTTTTGATTTGCAAGCTTGATTACTGCAACTCCTTGTAGGTTTGATTCAAAGGTCATTGAATCAATGGAAAGACTCCCATTGATGTCCGTGAGGTTTAGATCACTGTGTCTAGGAATGAACCCACGTCCCCTGAAAAAACTCCATATAGTACAACATGTGACAGCCCATCTGCTTAGCAAGACTGGTCACCAAATCTCTCTGTACTGAATACTGAGTCCAGTTCAAGGTCTGCGTTCTGTTATTCATGGTCCTTGATACTTAAGAGACCACTTTTCCTTCTTTGACCAGGACCTACCGTGACACCCGTGGCTGGCCCATGCCAGCTGACTCAGGCTCACAGGGCTTGGGCTAAGGATGGTTAAATTGCAGTGTAGACTTCCAGACTCGGTCTGGAGACCGGGCTATAGGACCCTGTGAGGTGGGAGGGTCCCAGAGCTTGCACTGCAGCCTAAGCCTATGGAACTTACTCCCCCAAGAGATAAAAAGGTACCAGAGACCTCACTATTGTGAGAACTAAACGTGGGATTGACTTTCCCTCTAAAATTTATGCATGCACAGACACGTACAGAGACATACATCACACCCACCGACCGAAACAAAAACAAAACCAACTATACGAATCAAACTATTTCTCCTATAGGCTGAGGAAGAAGATGGAGAAAGATTATGTCTGTTCTTAAATAATTGGGAGGTGCTCACGTGCTATGGTAACAAAGGCCATGCAGTGTTCAGACAGAGGCTCAGTCATAGTGCATAAATCATGATTTTGCCACTGTGCACTGTTTTCAGTCTCCTCTTTTTTCCAATTTTGAAATTTTATAAAATGACTTTTATATGACTAAAATATAAAATAGCAATCAAGGAAATGTTTAAAATTACATCACTGGGGAAATATTGCAGCTTGAGCTAGGTGAATAATGAATTTTTTTGGGCTGCTACCAATTCCAATAAATTGAAAAAAATTGTTTTGGATTGAACATCATCTTTCAAATTTTTTGGTGATTCAAAAAGAAAACAATTTCTTTTCAGGTTGATTGGAACATTTCATTTCAACAAAACTGAAACATTTTGTTTTGCTGTTTACCATCTTTGAACATTTTTGACTTTTAAAATAAAATTAAGGGAAATTTTGAAATGAAAAGTTGTGTTGAATGAAAATATCAAAATGTTTCATTTTGAAAATGTCAGTGTTAAATTTTATAAAAATTTTTTTTTTCACTGAAGCTATTAGGTGAAGTTAATTTGTAAAATATCTCAGTGTTGCCCAATCTGCATTTTTCACCATAAACGTTTCAGTCAAAAGATTTCACATAGCTCTATCTTTAGCTGAGCCTCTAAAGGTCTCTCCAATATTGCTGCTGATTCTTCTACTATAAATGACAATGGGGTCAAACTGGAAAAAAATAAGTAAGTGGTATTCTTCCTGGCTCTGCCCACAACCCAAGCTCTGCACACTCAATCCACCAAGAAGAGAAGTCACTCACAGTAAGATATACGATCATTCCTTTTTCTCTCTTGTGTTTTGGTCAGTAGTGAAATATTCAGCAGTGTTCACATTTAAATTATCATTAGAGTCAACATCCCATTCAGATTAATGGGGAGAGTTCAGTCTTCTCTCAGAGCTATTGGTTAAGGCCGTCTGCGGACTCAGGCAGACATCATTGAATGGGTTACTTCTGGTTCATGACTGGCAGGTTATTTTCACAACCATAGGACAATTATTTTTCAGTATAAATGCTCGGATTCTGGAGCTCAAGATAGCAGCCATCAGGAAAAAGAGCTGGCATGCTGACCACAAACTGGACCACCATGACCCCTAATTTGGACTAGTGGCCTGAAAGAGCCAATGGATTTCATGGAAGCTAAAATGAAAGTTAGTTAAGATGTAATTCTTTGAATGAGCCCCATAGATGGGATAATGGGGACATTCAGCTTTTATTTTCATACTTAATTCAGTTTTGAGTCAAGCTTTTCACATCAACTTTAAAACATAAATTTAAGAGCAAGTCAATAAACAATATTAAAAAGTACAGGGAGGCCAATTTATAGCAGCTGAGGCAATGATAACTTTGAAGTTCCTGGCTTCCATTAATTTGAAACACACACACATACACAAAATAAGTATCAAGCGTGACGTTTCTGAAAGTTTGGGCTAAGTGACAATTTGGTATATTTTATTATTTAAGCCTTTATTGGTTTTAACTGAGAGTTTCCCATTTCAGAGGAACCCAGTTTAAAGAGAAGAGAGGGTTTTCCTTTTTAACAACAGCGCTTGCCAGAAGTTTAAAAAAATCTCAGAACTGAAACAGTAAGCAAAAGGTTTTAAAAATTCAAACATCAGTGCTGTAATTAGTGAGTGTAATTAATTCTGTCTGATTATACAGCGTAAGTTTGCGAGGCACAATACTGGGGAAACTGCAGATAATGGCAAAACCATCTCACACAAACTCAAAAGTAATATCCTACAACAGGTGTCTATGGCTATGTAGATAGAAAAAGTGTAATTGGTGGTGACGTACTGTAACTTGTCAAACATCTTGGACTGGTATCTGTCAAGGACATTTTAATAATGATTTTCCCCCCCAATGTTGCTTTATCTGGTCTTTTACAGAGCTAAAACTTCACCACCAGGGTAAGCAATTTGTTTTAAGACTAGGGTTCAGGGGGCTGGTAATGAGATACCTGAATTATCATGGAAATCATTCTACAGACACAGATAGAGAGAACCAAACTCAGACCTACTATAAAATGGCACATCTTCCTCTAAAATAGAGGTCTATAGTCCTTGGGAACTCTTTTAGAATTCCCTGACCAAGATGTTAAAAAATGGGTGTCTGTATTCAGGTTTCTAAATAAATCTGGCTTGGGTTTCCAAAGGGCTGAGCACCCTCAGCTGCCCTTGGCTTCAGTAGATGTTGAGAGCAGAAATGAATAGGAGTGCAGGTTCCTCTGCACCTCCAGAAATCATACCAAGTTCATTTAGGAGCCTAAATATGGATTTAGGAGTTTAGCTTTGGTAACTTGTTTTTGAAAGTCTGAGCTATTGCATTTGGGGGGCATGTTTTGAATGCCAGAGTGAAAGAGACCTTTCACACTCATTGGCAAAACCTGGAGC